CTGTACGCCATAATCATCACAATTATGACAAATCACGACTTGAACTATCTTGCTTTGCATGTAATGAGTCTTATCTCATACATTAGTTTCATCTTTTAAGTTGCATTACTGAAATAAATGGACTTTTGCACGGTATTCTAATTTTTCGAGTTTTACCTGTAGACCATAGAGACCATAAACATTGTAAAGTCTTTTTTAAAAAAGTGTTCGTGTGTCTCAAGACGGATTTTACCAAATATGCTACTGGATCAAAAACAAACCATTTGTGTGAGTATTACAAGTAACTTGTGTTATGACAACAATTAGGATGGGATTGCTGTTGCTAAGTGATAACAGTCATATAAAGTATGAGGTCATCAATTAGCAATCTCAGGCAATCCGGTAGCCATGCTAACCTGAAAATTGGCAGATCTTTAAGTAGGAAGAGGGCTGGAGTCCCAGGGAAGGAGTATGGGGATGTTCCCTGCCCGGGGGGCAGGCGGGGAGGAGGAAAGGGAGGCTGCAGAAGAGCCAATGCAGACCCTGTACAATTTGCATTGGAGACTGGGGGAACTGGGAACACTGGTGCAGGCCACATGCAAGTTAGGGAGTTAGTGTTGCAGGAGGGAGTTTCTATGCGGTTACCAGGGTGATCAAACAAGACAAATTATGGACAAGTCATTGCCAGCAGAGAATCTTTAACAATAACAGAGTTTTAAATTTTAACTTGAAATAGCCCATCAAGAGAGTCTAATGATTGTAAAGGTCATCCAGTTACTCAGGGAAGCGCATTAATTACATAACCAAATCCTGTCTCTACAAATAATATATGACTAGCTGTTGTTCTGATAAGGATTTTCAGACTAGCTAGCCCAGTGATGGCTTGCCTTTTTGTTGTTGGGTGCCAAAAATACGAGGGAGAGTGCACAATAGCATGTGCGCATGTCGGCACCCATAATGCAAAGCATACCTCCACATGTGCATGCACAACCCTCCCACTCGCTCTCCCCCCTCACAGGCCCACTGGTCACTTCCATGTTGAGTATTTCCTTCTGGGAACTTCCAGTACGCTGTTTGGGCCTGTTTTTCACCCTCCCCAGGCTCCAGAGACCAAAAATCATCTGGTCGGCATGCGCATGCATGCTTGAGCTGACCGCTCACGTGTGGGAAGATATGGCTCACGCATGCCATAGGTTCGTCATCACAGAGCTAGCGATTCGCTTTAGGAGTTTGGTTCCTCATAAACTTGGGGAAGCCTCCAAAATCTGGTGGATTAAGACTAGGAAAACCTGAATTCTACTTTGGGTACAAAAGTCAGCTGGATGACTTTGGCTACAAGTAGTCCTCGACTTATGACCATTTAACAATGGTCTAAAGTTACTTGGCCTCAGAAAAAAATGACTTACAACCCATCCTTGAAGTTACCTCTGCGATCGCAATTTGGATGCTTGACAACTGACTCGCATTTACAAAAGTTGCAGTGACTGGTGCGACACGCGATCATAATTTTTGGTCTTCTCAGACAGCTTCCAACAAGTAAATCAATTGGGGAAGCTGGATTTTCTTAACCACCCCACAATTCACTCAACAACCATGTGGTCCATTTAATGACCATGCTGATTTGCTTAACAACTGTGATAAAAATGATGGTAAAATCAGGCCCAGGCATATCATAACTTGTTTAATGCTTCTCTTAGGGACTGAAATGCCAGTCCCAATTGTGATCATAAATTGAGGCCTACCCAACTCTATGGAAAAAGTAATGCTAAACTACTTCCAAAAATGCTACTTAAAAAACTCCCTGGATTTGTATATATAATCATCAGGAATCAAGTCTGACTTAAAGGTGAAAGGAAAGAAAAAGAGCTAAGATTTTACATGTTCTGTGCAACTAACGCAATGTTCTACATGGAAGCCAACCTGTATAAACTGGTCAGATTAAAGTAATTTAATTTGAATTCCAAAGTTGGAAAAAAATTAAGTGTGTGTGTGTATGTATCAGTGGTGGGTTCCGGCCGGTACGGCCTGGTACAGTCGTACCAATAGTAGCCAGTAATAGCGGCCACCATACCGGTACGGTGGCTCATTTGGCTCAGCCGCCCGCCAGCATTCCATACTTTTTTAAAAGCAAGCAGCCAATTGCATATGCGCATACAGCGTGCGGCGCCTACACAACCTCCGACAAGTAGCTGGGTGTCGCAGGGGTGGTGGAGTGCAAATGCATGCACAGCATGCATGCACGATCAGGACACCCGACCCCATGTGCAGCGTACCAGTAGCGACGGGGAGAGGAACCCACCACTTATATACTGATAGTATATCTATATATCTATATATCATCTATATATCTATATATCTATATATCTATATATCTATATATCGATATATCGATATATCGATATATCGATATATCGATAGATAGATAGATATAGATTAGATATAGATATAGATATAGATATAGATATAGATATAGATAGATATAAACAGAAAATATTTAGAGTCTCCTATCTAATGGTTATGAGTATTTTTGCAACACAGGTATGGTGTAATATTTATAGATGTTAATGCAGGGCCGGAGAAAAGGCATCTGTTTGGTTGGATCTCCCCATTTGCAATTAAAGGCTCCTCTGCCCTAAGATAAGTAGATCCAATCCATTCTATGGATTTGAGGGATCCTTTCCAGGGTTGTAACTCTAACTAGCTTAATTTCTTCATTCTTGAGAAAAGAATATAATTCTAAACACCTGCCCAGCCATTCCCAGAATGTTCTAGGGAAGAACACCAAAAAAAAGGAATCTTGCTGCAGCACTCATGGGATAAAGTTAATTTTATCAGCAACTGTGAAAGCTCTCTTGGCTTTTAAGATGTGATTCCCTCCCCTCCTCTTCTATTCAGGGTGTCGTTTCAAAGTAATAGAAGTCCCACTGCTTACCATGGCAGCTGGGTACAGTGGTTCAGTGAATGTGGTTAAGAAACGGTAAATGATGTTTATGGAACTGGTGATGCCGTAGAAGGTCAGGGAGCCTGCAGCATAGTCCAGGAAAACCCCAATGGTCTTGTAGTAGTCACCACGCAGCACAGTCTGGATATTATTATGCCAGACAGAGAAATTCACTGAGTCCCACTCCAAGCACCATGAATAATTATTCCTGCCAATCAGATACAACATGCACGATTTTTCGGTCTTATGCCGGTAGCTGTAGGCAACACCCAGGCACAGCCAGCCGTTTGAAATCTCAGCCTCCCAATAATGGCAGCCCTCACAAAGGCTGCGGGTACCGAGCAGCTGGGGCCAATGGTTAAATCCAGGGATGGGTTTTGAATAGGTTTCCAACAAAATCCCCATGTTCAGCACGGAGTGAGTCTCTTTAAAGAGGAAGAGCTCTTCGTTGGCAGTGGTGGCATCAAAATTCAGGACACAATAGTCTGTTGCATGGTAAGGAAAAAAGAAAAGAGGGCAACATTAAATTTTGTCAGTCTAGATCAATCCACAATAAGGATGAGAATGCCAGGAAGATTTGAGTAGACTAGGAGACAGGATTATTTTTATTCCAACACAGGGAACCTTCATTTTTTCTTGAATACTACCCTCAGATACTGATGAATCTGGGAAATAAGACATAGATGCAGTCTTCAGTCATACTGTATTCCATATTTTTGCCAGCTGTGATCAGCCAGTGCAATGTAGCAGCTAGAATGCTACACACAGAAAAAACAAACAAAGATCAAGCCTCTACTTGACCAGTGCCTCACTAAGAAATGAAAACTTGTGTCGAGTAGAAAGATAGGAATAATAATTATGATCAGCCTAAATCAAACTACTGCAGGATGAAGGACTCTTCATTGAAAATCATGGACTGTTATCTAGCACATTCGTCCAGTGCTGTTTGATAGAGAGATGTTTTTCATCTTCCCAGACTAGGCTGACAAGAGTGCCTGGCAAAGTTACCCAACCAGTTTTGTGCCCAAGTAAGGACTAGAACAGAGATCTCCAAAATGGTCAATGGTGACCCCTAAATGAGATTGTGCAAGGGTTTATTATTATTATTTTATTGTATTATTTTTTAGTTATTTGTAGTACTGTTAGCTAATTTATTTATTATTTGCACATATTAAAATATGTGAGTTGATGAACAATCGGAAATTTCATGAATGGGTCAATGAGCTGAAAAGTTTGGAGAGCCTTCTTGCGCAAGGATGGTATACACTTACCTTTCCTACCAGTTCAGAAATGGAACCGTGTGTGCACGCTCGCACGTGCCACCTCCGTGCATGCGCACAGACTTTCGTGCATGCGCTTTTGGCAGAAAAAGAGTCTAAATGTGATACCATAGAGCCAAGGCAGGTGGGCAGGGCCACCCGTGGAAATCACGGGTGATCAGTGATTTCCACTATGGGTTTGGGCGAACCAGTCCAAACGGTAGAATATCTCTGCTCTTGCGTATATATAAATCTGTGTATGTGTGGAGGGAAATAGATAGGGAGTATTAGAAATAAATATTTTTTTAAAAATTAGATCCTGGTGTGGTTGACATGTCATACTAGGCGATTGTGTGGTTAAATGTGATCCCACTCATTGTGACTGTTAAATGGAAACTGTACCATAATAACTCATTGAGGGAGTTGTGTTAAGAAATGTAGTCTTAATATTAGTCATCATGATTATTCGCAAAGGGTAGCTAGAAATCAATATACACACATCACCTAAGGCTTGTGAAGGACCGTATGTAAGGGGATGAGAAAATGTATTCTGACATGCCATTTATGTCCTTCAATTCCTTGATTTGCCTTTTGTTTAGTTTGCTTGAATGCTGATAAGATGCGTAGAAATGGAAAGAACAAAGCTTGTGAAAAACTTCCCTTCAACTATAAACAAACTTTTAAAATCTGTAGTATGTAAGTACACACAAAACAAAATATAAATGGTTTAAAAAAACTAATACAAAACAAGATAGAATATAAAATTGAATATAAACAGAAGCAAAAACGTCCAAAATGTTCTAGAGTACTGCAGTACAAATGCATTTACACTTACTAAGCCTCCATTTTTAAGCAAATTGAACCTTGACCATACAGAATTATATTGCCCAGGCTTTCCTGATAAAAGACCATTTCAGAGGCTTAGAGTTCAGGAAGTGCAAAGGTATTAAATAGGTTTTTATGCCACTTCCTAAGCACAACAGTCCTCAGGAAGGAAAGAGAAAACAAAAGATAATTTATGTTGACAGTATGGCTCTTGGTATCCTCATATAGGTTAGGACGTCTGTGAACTATAATACCAACTGGTTCAGGGGGCGCCAAGATGAGAAAGGATTCCCTTCACATTTGAAACTCTTACCCATTTCAGTAGAGCTTCTGAGAAGACATTGAGTTCAGAAATTGTCCTAGCAATTGGAGGAATGAAAAGGGCTCAGCTAGTAGGGGATAGGGAGAGGGAGCTCAAGATGTCCTATTTAAGGACATAGCTTCTCCTGAGGGCTCATTGTCCAGGACTACAGAAGAACAACCTCTTTTAACAGTCAATAAATCAGAGGTGACTTTCACTCCACATAAAGGCAGGCAGCTTAAACCAAGTTTAAGCGAGTTGTCCATAAAAATATTTTGGACTGCAACAGACTTTGTGTGCCATACACAAACAACAAAAAAGTTCTTGCTGTGAAAAATAGACATCTGAAAAAAAGTCTTTTTCCCTATTGTTTCTATGTTGGGAATAGAACATTGTTCTATTCCCAACATAGAAATCTACCTTGTTTTTCTTCAGAATTATTATTGTTATTGTTATACTTTCACCCATCTATATATGCAGCTGGGCAGGAAGTCCACAACTTACGACCACAATTTAGTCCAAAATGTCTGTTGCTGAGACACTTGTTAAGTAGGTTTTGCCCCATTTTATGATCTTTCTTGCCACATTAGTTAAGTTAATCACTGCAGTTGTTAGGTTAGTAACACAGTTGTTATTTGATTCTGGCTTGGTGCTCTCTGAGCTTGCTTGTTTTTTGCAGATGTTTCATTACCCTAACTAGGTAACATCATCAGTGCTAGTAAGGAGTGCTGTTTGCTGTCAGTTTATATTCTGGTGGCTTGTCTGTCTGTGTGACTGGGGGCGGCCTTAGAGATTCTTTAGTTGAGCTATTTACTGATGACTCTTTGGCAGTTTCTTGACTGGGGTACTCCTTACTTGATTGTTGGTCTGAAGCTAACTTTGGAGTTAACTTGACCTCTGAGTGCTGATTACTGGTGGAGAGATACTGGAGTCCTTATCTCTTTTGGACTGCTTGATTGTCTGTTTTGCATAGTCTATAGATGCTGTGAATGTCTAAGTGTTTATTGAGTGCCAAATTCTAGAAATACCTTGGCATTTTTGGACTTGGCTTGGTCTACAATTGTCTCATTTTCCCAATTGAAGTTATGTTTAACAACGGACTATATGTTGTGAAATTAAAGATTTTTTTATCATGTCTTCTGATTGCCAGTTGGTATTTATGAATGCATTCAGTCAGTCTTCTGCCTGTGGTTGTTACAGTTCTTACATTGTATGTTGTAGATGACTTTTATTTTTTCTTCTGGGGTTGCTGGGTCTCTTGGTTTGCTTAGGATGTTTTGAAGGGTTTTAGCTGGCCTGTGTGCCACGCTGATTCTCCTGTGTGCTGCTTGGAGAGTCCAAGCATGGGTTAAACTTAGTCTATTCACCCAAGGACTGAGTTGAAATTCTTAGCCACGCCTCCTCTCTTCATTGAGGTCCAGTTCAAAAATTCAGTCCAGCCCAGTTCGGACATGTTTTGGGGAGCTCCTCAGTCCTTGTGCGAATAGACTGGGACTCGTCTTAGTTAGCATAGGATTTCTTATTTTTGTCTTTCTTCAAGAATTGTGCTAGGAAATACCTTCGAGCCATTTAAAATAGCTGGTGAAGCTTTTGGGTTTCCAGGCTCCTCATCGCTGCGGAGCCTGCAATCGTCAGGGTATTTGTCTAGCGGTGGCTGGCGAACGCGGGGGAAGGTAGGAGGCTTCCTCTCCCCCCAGCTGTCTTCTCGTCCATCAGTGGCTGCCGGAGTCCTCAGCGGAGGCTCCGGCTTATGCCTGACAGCTCCCTGAAGTTCTAAGAAGCGGGGTGGCCATTTTGAAAGCATTTTTCACATGCTTTTCACATCTGGTCGTTTGCCATGCTTTTCCTCCCAGCCCGCAGATTGCCACAAGGGAGTCCTTGGCCTTCATTCGGGGCTCCGGCAAGGCCTCCTCCCTCAGAATCACTTCATTGCTGCCTAGGAGAGTTTTGGCCGCCTTGGTCATACTCCTGTCCCATGGACATATCTGTGCAGCGCACAGCAGCTTTCAGCTCACGCCGGTGCCAGCCTACTGCCTGAAGAGTCTCCCTGAAGAATCGTGAGGAACAGACTTTGAATTTATTGAAGAACACCATGGCTGACAGTGGCAAGAGGGTGCCTGAGGATCATCCTGTCTCCTCGCTGAAACGCAGTAGGCCAGACCCTCCTGAGGTGGAACAGGGCAACAAGGGCACCAGGGGAAAGGGAATCCCTAATCCCAGAGGCAGCAAGGCCCTATCTAGAGCTGAGGCCTGTAGACAGAAGGCCCTAGAGAAGACCTTTGAAAGGGCACGAAGGCTATCCCTAACCTCTGGACAACCTTCATGTGATCCAAGCCCCTTATCTCAAGGGCAGGATCCTCCCCCCCCACAACCCCCTCCACCAAGGGCCATATCTCCCTCATTGGAAGATGAGGAATCCCAGGCTCCCTCACCTGCAGCCTCTCTGGGTTATCCAGATTCTTCCTCAATGATTGAGGAATCTCTTCCCTTTGAGTCTGCCATGGTGGAGGAAGACCCTGATCCCTTAGGGGGTTCAGACAGGGGGAGGGCAAATAGACCTGCTGAAGACCAGGGACCCAATCTGTCTGTTGAAATACAGAGGGTTATTGAACAAGCCATAAAGAGGGGCATTGCTTCTGGAATGAATAGGAAAAAGCAGGCTTCCAGTAGCTCCTCTGCCAAATCTGGTCACAAG